TTCCATTCCGACTTTGAAGTACTGGAAGAATCCAGCATCTGTCTGGTTTAGCTTGGTGCAGGTGCCCAATCCTGGTCCATCAGTGAAATGGGAAACATTATATAGTCTAGTGTACAGGACTTTGGGGGCCTGTCACCATAAAAGGGGAGGAGGGACTCTGGAAGTTCCCTGAGAATGAGGACTTGCTATGATCTGGACGAGTACCCCTAACGATGTCTTAGTTAATATTATTTTTCTCCAAGGGAAGAGGCTGTTTTTGTGTAGAATGATGGGAAGTCATCTAATATCTGTCAGTGGCTGGGTTTGTTTGTGGATTCAGTCTGCGTATTCCTAGCATAGGCCAAAGCTTTTGTTTCCTAGCTCGTAGGGGTTCTGCTGTACACATAATCTCTGTCTTTTGAGATGGGAGCACACGTTTTAATGCCCTCCTGTAACCAGTGAATTACTTAGTGCTCCAGGTCATCGCTCCACCTGTTTCCATCACAGAGCACACTCACCCACCTCTCTGAAACTGCAAGGATCTCTCAGGCACCATCTCGCTCACGCAGGTCTTTGCTCTCACATTTTTTTCTTCTATTTGCCTCACTTTTTTTAAATCTGAAAGCTCACACTGCCATCCCCTCATGTAGGAAGCCCTCTCCTACTCCCCTCAGCAGGCTAAGTTCTGAGTCCTTGCCTGCACCCCATAACCCACATGTGGCCCTTCCAACACTCTGATGGATTCATTCATTTTCCGGTTGGTTTGTTTCTTCAAGGAGAATATCACAGTCAGCCTTTATCACCAGTGCCTAAAAGGGCCTGCCACATAGTAGGCCCTCAAGAAAAGGTACGGATGAAGAAATTACATGAGCCTCAGTCCTGAGAAGTCTGGCTTTATATTGCTTCTACTACCCACAGCTCTAGCGTAGAGGTTAAGCGTACAGGCTCTGTTGCTAGAATTCCTGGCCCATATCCCATATCCCAGCTTAGTTTCCTAGCTGTGTGCACTTGAGCAAGTTTACACGAACTCTCTGGGCCTCAGTTTCCTTCTCTGTAGATGGTATAATGATAGTACCTACTTCAGAGGGTCATGGTGGGGATTAAATGAGTCAAGTGCTTCAAGTCTGGCACCTAGAAAGTGCTCCATAAATGGTAGTTCTTAACATCAACCATCAAAATGACCACCAAAAATGTCTGCAGACTCAGGTGTGTTTCACAAGCAATACATTCTGCAGGGATGGTTAGTGCTCTTAGCCGTCGCTGACGCTCAAGAGAGTCCTGTGATCTTTGCCTAGTAGGGCTTCCATCATGTGCTTTAAAAGATTAGTAACCTAAGGCTACCTGGGGATTGAGGAAACAGAGGCTCCAACAGTGGATGCTTTTTGTAGCAAGAGAGTGTGCTTATTGTATTTTGATTATATTTACCTTTAATGAATGAGCAAGCTTTTTGGAGACAGGTAAGGACTCGCTGGAGTGAATAGTTGTGTGATTTCTGGGGATCTTAGCATTCTCAGCTTTGAGGGTTTGTGGAATGTAAGGTTGGTGGCCAGAAACTATCTTTTTAAAAGCACAGGCTGGACAGGATTTTTTGCAGAAACTTACAAGCTCCTCCTAAAATTTATATGGCTGTACAATAGAATAGTCAAAACAATTTTAATAAAAGAACAAAATTGGAGGACTTTTATTTTTGAATTTCAAAACCTTACTATAAAACTACAGTCAGGATATTGTGTTACTGCCATAAGGATGGACGTCAAGATCAACAGGGCAGAATTGAGGGTCCAGGAATGACTCTCTGTGTTTATGTTCAAGTGGTTTTTGACAGAAGTGCCAAAGCATTTCATTGGAGAAAAAATAGCCTTTCTACCAAATGGTCTGAAACATTTGGATATCCACACAGCAAAAGGTGAACTCTGGTGTCTGCCTCACACCATACACAAAACTGAATGCAAAATGGACCATGGACTTCAATGTAAGAGCTAAAACAAAACTTTCAGAAGAAAAAAAATAGGATACAATCTCTAAGACCTCAGGTTATGATGTCTTAGATATATATTCTATAAAAGAAAAACAAACTGGTAAGTTGGACCTCATCAAAATTAAAAAATTTTTGCACTTAAAAAAGGCAGGCATCTGTAATACTTTCAACAATAAAGATAAATTTAAAAATATATGTGGCATGAAGAAAATAAAGATAAGCAGTAGACTGAGAGAAAATATTCGCAAATCTGATAAAGAATTTGTATTGAGAATATATACACATATATTTCAATAAGACCAAAAAAATCCATTTAAAATGGGCAAAATATTTGAATAGTAATTTCATCCAAAAAGATAGACAAATGACTCGTAAGCACATGAGAAGATGGTCAGTGTCATTAGTCATTGCAAATTAAAGCCATGATGAGATAGCATTTCATACCCATTGGAATGGTTACACTGAAAAAGACAACAAATATTGGTGCAGATGTACAGAAATGGGAGCCCGCATTCATGCTAGTGGGGAGGCAAAATAGTGCAGCCACTTCGGAAAATAATTTGGCAGTTTCTTAAAAAGTTAAACATAGGCCCTGGCCAGTTTGGCTCAGCGGTTAGAACATTGGCCTGCGGTCCCAAGAGACCCGGGTTCGGTTCCCGCCAAGGGCACGTACCTCGGTTGCAGTTTGTCCCCGGCCCTGGTTGGTCGTGCTGGTGGCAGCCACTCGATGTGTCCCTTTCACATCGATGTTTCTCTCTCTCTCTCTTCCCCTCTCTGACTCCCACTCTATGTGAACAAAAAGAAATGGAAAAATGTCCTCGGGTGAGGATAAAAAATAAATAAATAAAAAGTTAAACATAGAATTACCATAGGATCCAGCAATTACACTTCCAGGTATTTACCCAAGAGAAATGCAAATATATGTTTACCCAAAGACTTGCACGTGAGTATTCTCAACAGCTTTATCATAATAGCCAGAAATGGGAAGCACCCTCAGTGCGCACAGCTGGCGGCGGATAAGCAGATGTCGTCTGTCCGAACGAGGAAATTCCACGGAGAAGAGGAGGCAGGAACAAACTCCTGATACAAGCTGTTACATGGACAGATCGTCAAAATCCCGTGTTAAGTGAAAGAAGCCAGACACAAGCGGCCACATATTGTGATTCTGTTTATATGAAATGTCTAGAAAAGGCAACTCTGCAGAGACAGAAAATAGATGGATGGTTGCCGGGGGCAGTGTGGGGGATGGGAGACAGGATTAACGATGAAGATGACGATCTTATTAGGGTGATAGAAGTGTCCCTTGTGCTTTCTGCTTTGGGGTGATGCGTGTACAACTTGGCAAGTTGACTAAGAATCGATTGTCACTTGAAATGGGTGAAGTATATGATATGTAAAATATACCTCATTGAAGTCGGAGGAAGCTGTTGGGGAGGGAGGGGTGGAGGGAGGAAAGAGAGAGAGGGGGGAGAAGCGAATACGGAATGAGAGAAACAACGGGCTGGCTGGAGCCAGGCTCTTTGGATCGGAAACTTGGCAAGTCCAACCTCTCCTAGCTCTAGTTTCCTGTCAATCAAGTTGGGGAAAATAAGTTACTAACCACAAATCAGTGTTGGGAAGGTTATGATAATACATAAAGAGTGCTTAACACAGAGTTTGGACCCGAGAGCTCAATAAGTATTTGCCATAATAATAATAGTTGTTATTGGTAATAGTATTTAACCTCCCAAGCATCCAGTTTGGATTTAGAGCAATTTAATTCAAATCTTGGAGAAGGATTTGGACTGTGGCGTGCGGAGGGCAGTGACTGGGCCTGTGGAAATAACTCCCGGGGAGTCTGAGAGCCTAAAGCTTGGGATTCGTCCGGCATGTGGAGGCTGGGGGCTGGGGGGCAGCATCACTCATGGAGGCACATCCTACCCCCGCAAATGTGGGAGCAACCTGTGACGACGTCTCAGCCCCAGTCCAACGATTTATGCTACACCACTACCTGCCAGGTCCTATGTGCAGAGGGCAAACGCCCAACCTCGTCTATGAGGGTTTCTAGAGGAAGTCATGGTACCCAGATGGAGGGCGAGGAGCGCTCCCCAGCAGAAGGGACAGCTCGGGCAAACCCCAGGGTCCATAGGGAGCTTGCTGAATTCTGTCAAATGCTGATAGGAGACAGAGTGACAAGAGTCAAGGCTGGGTCCTCCATGGAGGGCTTTGCGTGCTGTGATAAGGAACTTGGATTTATCTTGAAGACAATGCGGACCAGTGAAGTGTTCTAAGCAGGTCCAAGACCAGCTTGGGTATCTCCATTAGATGGTCCCAGGGGCCCCTGTGCATCACACCGTGAGAGACCCTGCTCTGTTGCTGAGGAGCAGATAAATGCCCTCCTGGGTGTCCGTGGCCAGTGTTTTGCGTTTAACCTCCTTAAGAACTGCTGCTCCTCCAAGGACCACATCCACACTGGTGTCTGGCTGAAAACTGTCCCGCGGCTCCCACGAGGGGCCTAAGAGGCATAGCGTGGTGGCCGAGAGCCTGTCTGCAGGGCAGATCTCCGAGCAGCAGAGGACTTGTCCATGTTTCATACACTTCTGCCCGGGTGCCTGCTCTGGCTGAGAGCCCATTCATAAGCCCCAGCGGCTGAGGGGCAGGTATTGTGCCGGTTACTATAGCATCACCTTGGAAAGGATCACTCAGTGATCACAGCCAAGCCGAGTGAGGCCGGAGGGGGATGTGGTCAGAGCAGCAGGAGGGGCTGGAGACACACCACAGAAGCTGTCGCTGGTCTCCGAACACCTTGTGGGCTGGAGCCCACTCAGCCTCTCCAGCCGCAGCCCCAGGGAGGGAGGCAGGCTGCACGCAGCCTGAGACAGCACCACGCTGCTGCTGAGCTCCGAGCTGTTCAAGGGGCTCAATTCCCAGCCAGACCTTCCTCAGCCTCCTTTGGGGGGGTTGGGGGGGAGGGGGGGCGTGTGGGTGTTGTCTCAACTTGAAGGATCTGGGCTGGGTTTCATCTCCTTTTTGATTTAAAGTAGTTACCTCCATGAGACCTGACTTCAAAGTGTTCGCCAAGGAAAGCAGAGTGGTCCCCACGCTGGAAAGGAGAAAGGATGATGGTTTCTGAGACCGACTGGTGAAGAGCTCGGAGGTGTCCCCCAGTCAAAATGCCTTTTAAAGCATTGGATACCTTCAAAGAAAAAATTCTGAAACCTGGAAAGGAAGGAGTGAAGAATGTCGTGGGAGACTCGTTGGGAATTTTACAAAGGTAAAGTTTGAATGCAAACTTCAGGTTTATTTCTGAGTAGCTTCACAGTGCTGATGCTTGAGGGGTTTTGCTTAATGTTTCTAAAGCCATAGTTTAATAAGGATTAGATGGGTCAGATCAGATGGGGAGCCCCTTCCACTCCATCAGACTACGCCTGGGAGAAAAATACGAATCCAAAGTACAGGGTTGAATTAGGAAAATACGAAGATGTGCATTCTGCGTACACAGTAGGATTAGCACTAACTAGACAAGGTCATTTATATATTGCCTGTTTGGCATTGAATTAGAAAAGACTTGGCGAAATAATACTAATTCTGTAAGAAATACAAATACGGTTATGCTTGGAGCTGAAATATTTTTTAAAAATTTATTTTTTTTTTACTATAAATGAAAAGATATTTATAAATTGTTTAGCTTGTCATATAAACTATACATAGTGGTTCCTAATTGTGTAGTTTTCAAAGTGCAGTGTAGTTACCCAATAGTTTGAAGGAGGTAACTTAATATATAAGCATTCTTCAAAGCAGAAAATCTTATATGATTTTAGTGGGAACATGTTAAGTACTACCATTGAATCGAATGTGATTGTCCAAACAAAAATAAATATTTTTTAGGATGAAAATACATAATCATTGAAAGAAGACTTTGCCCTAAATGCATGAATTGATGTGACATTTTAATTTGTGATTTTTAAAATAAACATAGTAAATGCTTTTCTAGGTCTTACTGGTGAATTAATAAGTGGTCCTCAGGTACAAGGTAAAATGACTCCCTTAATCTCTCTAATATAAATACATGTGCAAAGTATCCTTGGTAGGATTTTTATGTTTGAATGAGTATTTCTAATCATGATGAGTGAAAATGTCACCTGGTGCCTTCTTTCAACTTTTTAATGTTTTCTCTGAAATTTAAAAACGTTAGCATTTAAAGAACTGCTGCTAGGCACACACAGATTCTTCCACTTCTTGTGCTTATGACACAGGGGCTCCTGTGTGACAGTTGTTATGGGTTACTCTTGATGAGCATCCATAGGCAGAGAACTGGGTGGAGCACTTCATTATTAGTGATTGAAGACGAAAAGGTTTCAATCAGACCTGCACTATCATGTAGAGATGAAAACCTACTTCAGTGAAAGCAGGATAAACACAGGCTGTGATTAAAATAACCTGTTCTTTAAAAAAATTCTTTTTCTTTATTGATTTGAGAGAGAGAGAGAGATAGAAACATCAACGAGAGAGAACATCGATTGGCCGCCTCCTGCATGCCCCCCACTGGGGATTTGGCCCGCAGCCTGGGCATGGGAATTGAACTGGTGACCTCTTGGTGCATGGGTCGATGCTCAACCACTGAGCCACAACGGCCAGGCTAAAATAACCTATTTTTGTAAGAGTGTTTTATCCCTCTGCTGCGCTCTCCCCGGGGAACGCCTTTCCGTGGTGGTGTTCATTGGATTAAAAATGCAGACGGGAGGCACGGTGGCTTCACTGACATGTTGGAGTGACAACAAAGGAATCCGACAAAGTCAGAAACAATGACTCTGGACCACGTCACCATTGTGCTCACCAAACTGTCTTCATTTATAAAATACTTGACAAAGAGTACTTAGGAATTTTCTTTTCCAACTTTAAGTTTCATTGATATTTTGAAATTTAATTGTTTTTTTTTTTCTTCCAATAAGTATTCTCCTAAGAACTGGTTTTGCTATTTGAATAGATGCTCCACTTGAGGGTCCTCCTGGTTACCAGTTGGTTTACTTAGGGATGTAACAAGATTAGTCATTTCCGAGTTGTTCGACCTCAGCCCCAAAGTGAGCTCTGTGTTTCGGCCTCCGGACAGTTTTCTGGGACTTGAACTGGGAACAACAGGAACACGGGTGACTGTGCTTGGGATAGAGAGCGCACTGAGTGCGTGCCGGATGTCGGCAATGTCATGGTGGGAGAAAGACTTGAGCAGACATAAAGCCAAACTCGAACCTGTTCGCTCAGTGATCCCGGCAGGGACATTATTGGCCAGGGAAGGGGGAAGGGCGGCCACTGACCAGCCCTGTAGGTGGAGCCTCGGCTCCGGGTCCGGGCGCCTCTGAGCAGAGCTCCAGCCTGAGGCCCCTGCCGGACTAGCTCTGCCAGGCGTCGGTGGCACCTGTGCGTCTGCCCGGTAACTAGACCCGAAGTGCCCGGCCCAGAGCCTGGCATCTAATAAAGGACTTTCCCTCCCTGGGTGATTTTCCACATGAAGCCAGTTGACAGAATCCAATGTAAACAAAATGACGAAGCACCGTTTTCTGTTTGGTAAGGGACGTTTGGAAGTTAGAAAGGCCGACGTTCTGACTTAGCCGGCAGGGTGATCACGGATGTCCGGTCCTGTGTGTCCGTGGCCATCGTCTCGGTGGCATCGTGAGGCGCTCTGTAATCACGGCACGTTCCTCGGGGTCGGGGCACCTGAGGACAACAGTCGGGCATTGTGAGGCTCCCCTGAGAATAGTTCATGATGAGAAGCAGCTGAACAATTTCATCAGCTAAAGGTACAATGATATTTTAGAAGTGCAGGAAAAAGACGATGTGTTCACTTGTCGTCCAGTATGGGAACACACGGCATAGAAGGCATTAACTTGGAAAACTAACGTCCAGAAATTGATACAGAGATTTGCCCAGCTTAAATGATGCTATCGGTGTCCTCTATTTATGTGTAATAAATGATCATAACAAACACTATGTTCCAGGTACGGTAAACTTACTTAATTTTAACAGCCCTCTGGTGGAGTCTGTTACAGTTTTACAGATGAGGAAGCTGAGGCACAGAGAGGTTAAGTAAGTTGCCCAAAGACACACAGCTTTTAAGTGGCAGAGCCAGGTTTCGGACCAGACTGCCCACCTTCTCAGTCATTACATTATGTTACCTCTCTAATCAACTGTCTTTGCTCTTCCCACTTGCTGTCTTGAAATTTAACTACTCTTTTAGGTTTAGGGAGTTATTAGGGCTACAATGTAGCCAGCACCTTCGGATCTTAAGGCAAGTATGGGCTTTTCCTCCTAATCCATTGTTCTACTGAAAACTTTCCCCAACGGAGAGTGAAAGCCAGTGTCTTCAACGGCCTTCAAGATGACACCTGATCTGTAACAGGTCTCCCTGACATCATCTCTGACGCTCTTTCCTTGCTCTCGCCCCTCCAGCCCCCCTCCACACTCCGACTGGAACTCCCCGGACCTGCTCCTGCACCCGCCTTTATACCCTGAAAGCTTTTCTTCCAAACAGCCTGCAGGCTCATTCCCTCACTCCCGCCAAGTCTCTTCTCAGAGGTCACCTCCCCAGGGAGGACCTCCTGACCATCCTTACTGACAGATACAGCTCCCCTTTCTCCTGACCCCACCTAACCCCTCCCTCTTCCCTGCTTTCTTCGCTCTACCTCTGTCTAAGGGAGGGCCTCTAAGAGCAGCGCCTGAGACAGGGATTGGGATGAGCCCAGGATGGGATTTATCTGGAGGGGGTGGGGTGGAACTTTCTGGAAAAATCGGCGGGGAAGGAGTAAAGCAGAATAGGGAAGGAGAAAACCAAGCAAGGATGTGATCTCAGGTAATGCACAGGGGCCAGATCTCAGTGGGAAGCTCTGGGGCATTTCTGGCCCTGAGCAAAGGGCCCCGCCTTGTTTGTCTCTGTGTCAGTCAATCCTCGACTGTGGGTGGTCCCAGCAAGGCTGGGGGTTTACAACGGAGGTCCCTGAGCAGCGGGCTGGCAAAGGGAGCCCTAGAGAGCTGCCAAGAGCTTTGGAAGTGTGCTGGCCTGAGAGAGAGGACCTGCAGTGTGTGCAGTGTCTGTGTGCTGGCCCGAGAGAGAGGACCCGTAGTGTGTGACAGTGTGTGTGTGCTGGCCCGAGAGAGAGGACCCGCAGTGTGTGACAGTGTGTGTGTGCTGGCCCGAGAGAGAGGACCCGCAGTGTGTGACAGCGTGTGTGTGCTGGCCTGAGAGAGAGGACCCGCAGTGTGTGACAGCGTCTGTGTGCTGGCCCGAGAGAGAGGACCCGCAGTGTGTGACAGCGTCTGTGTGCTGGCCCGAGAGAGAGGACCTGCAGTGTGTGACAGTGTGTGTGCTGGCCTGAGAGAGAGGACCCGCAGTGTATGACAGTGTGTGTGTGCTGGCCCGAGAGAGAGGACCTGCAGTGTGTGACAGTGTGTGTGCTGGCCTGAGAGAGAGGACCTGCAGTGTGTGACAGTGTGTGTGCTGGCCTGAGAGAGAGGACCTGCAGTGTATGACAGTGTGTGTGTGCTGGCCCGAGAGAGAGGACCTGCAGTGTGTGACAGTGTGTGTGCTGGCCTGAGAGAGAGGACCCGCAGTGTGTGACAGTGTGTGTGCTGGCCTGAGCAAAGGGACCTGCAGTGTGTGACAGCGTCTGTGTGCTGGCCTGAGAGAGAGGACCTACAGGGTGTGACAGTGTGTGTGTGCTGGCCCGAGAGAGAGGACCTGCAGTGTGTGACAGTGTGTGTGTGCTGGCCTGAGAGAGAGGACCCGCAGTGTGTGACAGTGTGTGTGTGCTGGCCCGAGAGAGAGGACCTGCAGTGTGACAGTGTGTGTGTGCTGGCCCGAGAGAGAGGACCTGCAGTGTGTGACAGTGTGTGTGTGCTGGCCCGAGAGAGAGGACCTTCAGTGTGTGAGAGTGTGTGTGTGCTGGCCCGAGAGAGAGGACCTTCAGTGTGTGACAGTGTGTGTGTGCTGGCCCGAGAGAGAGGACCTGCAGTGTGTGCAGTGTCTGTGTGCTGGCCCGAGAGAGAGGACCTGCAGTGTGTGACAGTGTATGTGTGCTGGCCTGAGGGAGAGGACCTGCAGTGTGTGACAGCGTCTGTGTGCTGGCCTAAGAGAGAGGACCTGCAGTGTGTAACAGTGTGAGTGTGCTGGCCCGAGAGAGAGGACCTGCAGTGTGTGCAGTGTCTGTGTGCTGGGCTGAGAGAGAGGACCTGCAGTGTGTGACAGTGTCTGTGTGCTGGCCTGAGGGAGAGGAACTGCAGTGT